CGGGTGTTTGAAAGAATCAACTATACCCATCAAGGAAGCAATAGAAAGGGTGGTTTGCAAGTCTTTCAAGCATTTGATATATAAAAAGGAGAAGGAAATGATCTTTTTTTGAAGCAGCATTAAGTTTTCTATAATCAATACACATCCTATGCCAAGTTATAGTTATAATTGGCACTAACTCATCCCTCTCATTTTTAATTACAGTGATTCCTCCCTTCTTAGGTACCACATGAACTGGTGAAACCCATGTACTATCAGAAATAAGATAGATAACACCATCATAAAGAAGTTTAAGAATCTCCTTCTTGGCAACATCTTTCAAATTTGGGTTTAACCTCCTTTGATGTTCTACAGAAGTCATTGATTCATCTTCTAAATGGATCCTGTGAGTGCAAAGAGCAGGAGATCATATCATCCAAGGAATAACCAATGGCTCTCCTGAACTTTCTTAACACTTCAAGGAGGGAGGATAATTCATCACACTTAAGTTATCATTCACAATCACAGGGTAAGAGGAGTTAAGGCATAGAAATGCATACCTTAGCCCTAGTGGAATTGGCTTGAGCTCCACCTTTGGTGCCTTAAGTTCGCTAGTTGTCTCCTTTGCTGCTAAGGCCAAGATCTCTTCTTCTGACCCATATAACTCCTTGCATATGACATTGCTGTCCATCTATCTGCATGAGTCAAGCAGCTTCATGTAGGCTAGAGTTTCATCATGCAGATACCCATCTTAACCATGCTCCTTTGTCAAGGCTACTTGAAGATGATCTCTCAAAGTGAGTTCTTCTAGTACCTCAGAAAGTCTGTCCATTGCTTCAACCTTGAAGAGTTTTCTCTCAATGGTTGGCTTCTTCATAACCTTGTTGATGTCATACTTAATCACAAGCTCCTTGCCAAAGAAGATCAATCTTGGCATTCTTCACATCTATAACAGCGCCAGCTGTTGCTAGGAAAGGTCTTTCTAGGATAAGAGGATCTTTTGCTCTTCATCCATTTCTAGAAGCACCAAAATCTGTAGGAACTTTAGCATTGTCAATCCTCAAGGGTAAGTCTTCAATCAAACCTATTGGCAGACTTATAGAGCGATCTGCCAATACCAAGGAGTTTCTGCATTCCTTAAAACTTGTATACCCTAGACGCTCGGCAACAGAGAGTGGCATTAGGCTAACACTAGCTCCACGATCACATAAGCAGTTGTTAAAGGCAAGAGGACCTAAAGAGCATGGGAGAGTAGAGCTTCATGGTTCTCCCAACTTCATTGGTTCTTCTTTTCTTTTAATAATAGAATTACACTCATGTGAAAGAATCACCATCCCTTACAGCTCTTTAGTTCTCTTCAATATTGCATCCTTGAGAAACTTCTGATAAGAAGGGACCAAATCTGTCTCCCTAACCTGAACTTGAGCATAGTTTCCCACAAGGTCCATTTTCTTAGGCTTGCCTTGAAGTAACAAATCGATATTGGCCTGAAGGGACCTGATCTCCTCAGTTGCTTTGTCTTCAGCATCTCCTCTTGACAAATGGTCATATTCATCAGCATAATTCCCATCACTTTGGGCGAGGTTCTACACTAGTTATAAACCTTCTTCAACACACTTTTTCCATGAAGTGTCCATTGCTTGCTGTGTCAAGGGGCATTCAAAATTTAGGTGACACTCCTCTGTATAAAGTGCTAACGAATGCTTCATTGGAGAATCCATGATGAGAACACTTCATTGTGTAGCCTTTGAAAATCTCCCAAGCATCACAAAAATGCTCACTATGTTGCTGTGTGAAGCTGGAAATGTCATTCCTCAACTTAGATGTTCTTGATTTATTGAAGAACTTAGCAAGGAAGGCCTTCTTGCACTCATCCCATGAAGTTATACAGCCATGTGGTAGATTCTTTTACTAAAGGTGAGCTTTATCCCCAAGTGAGAAAGGGAACAGTCTTAACTTTAAAGCATCATCTGAAACACCTTGGATCTTGATCAAACTGCAAACTCTATCAAACTGATCTATATGCTCCAAAGGATCTTCTATTGGAAATCCAAAAAATTTATTGCCATGAATCATGGTGATAAGGCTACTCTTAATTTTGAAGTTTGTGTTGCCAAGAGAGGGAGGGACAATACCATATCTATTGACATGACTGTTTGGTGAATCATGTGCTTCAATGTTCCTCACTATCCTTGGTGCATTTTTCTGAAACCGTCCTCCAAATGGAACATCGCCTTGGTTCCATTGAAACTGAGCTCCTTGCTCTTGAGGAAACTCTCTGTGTGGTCCTTGACCACCAGGACCTTGAGGGTAGTCCATACTCAGCTATGTAGTTGTTAAGACCCTTCTCAAACTGCTTGTGCTTCTCTTTCAAGGGGATGATGTAGTTAAGTGCTCAACAAGGTTTGCAGCTCGTTGTAGAGCAAGATTGTGTACCTAAAAGAGAGAACAAAGTAACTAGATAAGATTAGTACTGAAATAAATAGCTTAAACTAAACAAAAGTTCAAACTTCAATACACTAATCATCCCACTAAGGCAACGGCGCCAAATTGATACAAGACTCTTTATGTTTTGTGACTCAATTCATCTTGAGTCTTAAATCAAATTATTGCATCACAAGAGGTTATTAATCTTTCATGGGGATAGTGTAGAGAAGGTGCAGAAGTTTATTTAGCTAAGCCTAAAATGGGGGTCTTAAAAAAAACATACACTCAATAAGGAAGTAAGTGCAAGTAAGTGATCAAACATGTAGATTAAGAACAATTCTAAAACAAGACATTTAACATAAGTAAAGGTAAATATATAACAACAAAACAGAACAATGCAAATGGTTTTAACAATAAAGAGCGAATGGTTTTAAGATGGGGAGATGAAATTAGAGTTACTCTACGAAAGACCAATGGTGCTCAAACAACAACACAATGTTATTCCTTATGAAAAGAACATCAAGACTTGACTAATCCAATCCCTTGGCAATAATCTTGTTACTAATCAAACTCATAACCCCCTTTCAATGGTGAAAATCTAATTAGCAAGCATTAAGATTCAGTTCTACAAGCCAATAAGCACATTAAACAACTAATTCCTTAGGCTAAGCATGCAAATCACAAGTTTAACTCATTCAGAAATTTCAACAAACACTTGCAATGCATCAAAAATCATATGGACATGAATACCTTTCTTAAGGCCAATCAAGCATTAAAAACATCAAACTAGTAAGAAAATGGAAGAATTAAACTCTCGACACCATTAATCAATCATCCAATCACCCTAACTATCCCATCTCAAAACCTAATAAAGCTACTCACTAACTATACTTAGAACCATAAGAATATGACTAAACATGATTAAAAGATGATAAACAAGGAAAGGTAAATGCAAAACTTTATTAAAATGATCCAAATCCAAACTTTTTCTTCAAAGAAATACAATTGAGAGAGAGTTTTGCGCTAAGGATATAAAAAGTTGGATAAGATAGAAGTTCTTTAGGTTTGGACTATTTATAGGGAAGGATAAAAATGAACAGGTCAACATAAAGTCAACCCTCGGATTAGCTCATACCGAGCAGGACAGAAAATAGCCCTCGTCGGTGCGTGAGAGCGGTGCGATCTGATATGCATCACAAGACACATCGTCTCGGCATTGCTCTTCGTTTGGTGCACGGTTCAGGATGCACCGGGCAGGACATGGAACGGCTCTCGTTTGTGTGCAGATCAGTATGTCCTTAAGCTCCTTGTGGCGAGCAGATTCATCAGTGTACGGACGTCCCTAGTCAGTAGAGTCGCCACCGTGGAGGGTCGTCGGTGTACAAACTGTCCCTCGTCGGTCTAATCGCCTGCGTGGAGGATCCTTGGCGTACGGACGAGTCTTTCGTCGGTATGGTTGCACCGTGGAGGGACAGAGGTGCCCTCCACGGTCTGTATGCTCGGTATGGACCCTTGGATGCTTTGAATGTCTTCCTCTTGCTTGGTCTTCTATCCCCATTGAATCATCATCTTCCCAATGTCTCCTTAGCTCGCCAAATACCTGAAAACACACTCAAAATGCATGCATGTATGCAATCTGATTCTAAATGCATGATAAGTCTAATTTGGATGAATGTGAGACACTATGGACTATCTAGATGATGAAATAAGATGAAAATTACACTAAATGAAGTCTAATATGGTGAAATAATGCAAGCTATCGAAGTTTTTTTTTTTGTCTACAACCTCATTTTTTTAGAATGGCCCAGTAACTCAAGCATGGGGAATTGAGTTTACATAATTTAGATGATACAGGTAGTCGCGAGCACTGCGTGCTAGCTTATCCGCCTTTGTGTGCTATCAAAGTTATAATTTATATTTAAAGGCATTTGTTACTGGTGAATTTTCCCTTAAAATGATGCACTTAAAAAGCTATTTTACCCTTAATCTAACTTGATCCCTAATGAAAGTGAAACAAAAGTATAATTGTTATTGACGGTGTTTCATCGGAAATAAGGGGTAATGTGTTCGGCATCGCGTCACATACTGAAATCGTTGATTTTATCTATAAAAAAATTCTTTGTAAATGCCAAAGTGAATGCCAGATTCGTTGGATTTCATGCCGATTTCGATGAAAATCAGCAGATGTATCCATCTGTTGTTCGAGATTGTCGATGAAAACCTCATTGGGTTTCAGATCGATGAAAATGTGAAAAATCTACATCCCATTCAATCCCAATGAGGTTGAATGATATGTAGCTTTTTCACGTTTTTACGTTTTGAAAATGTGATTTCACTAAATACATATCATTCACAATATTAAGCATTGAATGATAAAAAATTAAAAATTAACACGCTATTTTTTAATTCATCCCGCACATTTTAAATTTATAACTAATTTTGAAAAAAATCTATTCATCTAATAGATACTAGCTTTTTAACGTTTTGTATTTATTCAGTTTTCAATTTTGTTCATGTTATTGATTGCGCTAGTTTATTATTCAGTTATTCAGCTATTAAGCTGATATACCAGTCAAACCCAGTTAATAACAACTCGCAGGCAAATATAATTCATTTGCTATTGACGATTTGACGAATCAACCCCTTCTTCACGCTCATTTTTTTTGACCAGAAAAACAATTCCTTCCTCACATACACAACCCCTTCTTCACGCATTGCATCTCCTCAGTCCTCACGCATTACATCTCCTCACGCATTGCATCTCCTCACACAAACAAAAAATTATAACAATTCGAAAGAATTTTTTTTTTGATAAAATTCGATTTATCGATTCGGATGTTGGAACCCCCTCATGTTAAATTGTCGTTAAATCGACTTTTCCTCCCTTACTTCCTCGTCCTTCTTGTCCTCTCTGGCTTTATTTCCCCTCAAACATTACCCAAAAGAGAAGGTAATACAATAAAAGTCCTATAAATTATTAATATGGAAACTTACTGTATACACACCTGCATATATACGTATATATTTTTTTTAACTAATATATACGTATATGTTTGAGGTAGCGTATGAGTTAGTTCTCAGTAATTTAAATTTTCGCAGTCGATGCTTTAAGAGCCATAGCGAAGACGCTGAAAAAGAGTAATTGGGATTTCAGTGTGGATCCATGCGACACAAATTTAACTGAAGGAGGATGGAGAGATGTTAACGCCGACAGAGATTTCAAAGACGCTGTTACTTGTGGTCACTGCTCCACCGTTTGCCATGTCACCAGCATGTGCGTTCGTCTCTTCTTCCATTTTCTTTTTATTTAGTAAATAAATATATATATATATATATATATATATCGTTTTCTATAAATTTCCATGGTCAATTAAGCAAGGCGGAAATTGACAATTATTTGATGAATTTTTTTTAAAAGAAAATTAGACTTGTTCGAAGTAGGTCCCATTTTCCAAAGGGTAATACTTTAAAATATTATTATATATTATGAAAAAGAACAGTAAAACTTTTCAACGGTTAAAACTAATTAAGAATTTTAACTAAATTTAAATAAGGATAATTTTTGAAATGATTCACTTAGTAACTTTATTACGACATTTTCTAAAATGATCCATAAAAAAAGTTTACTAGTGTGTTTTTAATCTTTCGTTAGTCTGTCAATAATTTATATTTAGTCTGTTATTAGTTTGACAGTAGTCTATATTTAATTGTAAGATCAGTATTATGTATTCATTCTGCTATTTGTCTGTTATTAAACTACAATTAAAAGTAGTTAGAAGGATAGTGCTGGTATTTAAAAAACTGTAAAATAAGAGTCATTTTCACAATTTTTCTTCAATGGAATATCCGTTTGCATTATTTTTTTATTTTAGATTATTTTGGAACATTTTCTCTTTGAATAATACTTTAAAATATTATTAAAACAAGTTTTTTTAACATCTAATTATATTATATTATAAAAGTGTAATACACATAGTTTCAAAAACATTCACATAGGAGAACTAGAAACAATTTACATAAATTATGTAACTACTAATGTTTTTTAAAGAACATTTGGCATCTGATTTTTTTTTCTATTAACATATCCTAAAGATTAAAGAATAAAGAGTAAATTTACTTATTCAATGAAAAATATTAAAAAGCAAATTATTAATATACATGCTTCCTTAGCTATAGACTATCTACTTTAAATCATACATTCCTCCGTCACTTACTCCAAACATGTTGTACAACATACAAGAATCCTTAGCTTACACTTGTAAAGATGTGTTTACCTGAGACAATTTGCACAACATGATTCTATATGCTTTGATCATCCATTCCACACCCATAAACTTTAAGATCCTATGATAATTGCTACCAAAGTTACATTTCATCCATCCTAACATAGGTGGTTTCCATTGACTATTGTGTCTAACTTCCCTTTCTCTTAAAGGTCATATTCATCCATCTGAATCCAAGAAAATCACAATCTATTCTGCTACCGAGCTTAAACTTCTTGCAACTTCTGCTTGAGCGTGAACATCCCTTTTGTTAAACAGAAATTCATTTTGAAATTTTCATATCATCTAAACAACCCAGAATGGAAAAAAACATATCTCATATAAGAGACTTTAGATATACTTTATGTATTCTTACACTAAGATTAAATTACCCCACATATTTATGATGTAATAATGTGTAAAATCAATTATCATATTATAAAAATGATTACCATATTATAATAATTTGAAAATGTCATGTAACACACAAATTATCATACCATAAAAATTATCGTCTTAACACAATTTTCAGATAGTAGAAAATATGAGTTATTAATTAATTAACTATGTTAACATAACAAAGTTAGGCGAAATTATAGACAACCACTTAAGTAACTTTATTATTGATTAACTATTTTATTATATGATGATAATTGTGTTAACACGATAATTTTCATATTTAAATAATATAATAACTCAATGAACACGATAATTCTATAATATAATAACTCATGTATAATGTTATATATTTATTATTATTGGACTGGCAAAATAGTGTACATAATATATTATTTGTTTTAATACATTAATTACAATATAAAAAAGTATGAGAGGACTAGTGTGAGAGGACAGTTTAATTTTGAATAAATAGTGTTGTCAAACAGATGATACATAATGTTATCGTAGTTGCGGATGAAAGACAGTGTCATCGAGATTTTATGCTTGCAACCAAGTTTTCATAAAATGGCATTTTCTCTAACTATTTTAAAAGTATAAGGATATGATAAGTTTTCTTATAGTTAACATACCATACTGAATATTAACTTATAAAAATAACTGAATTTTATATCATCTGTTATCATCTAATGCAATTTGTCATTTAAAGAAAAGTAAAATTATACTATATTATATAATCATTATTTAATATAAAATATAACTATTTCATAGAAAATCAATTTAATTTCACAACTAAATGAATTTCTCATCTATATCTAAATAATTTACATCATTAGTTAAGATTTTGATTGGTTCTTTTGATAAAAGTAGTTTTTGTAAGGAGTAGTGATTGTTAGCATTTGGTAATAATCGCTCAAAATGTCCTTTACTTTGTACCAATAAAAACTTTAATGAATAATAATAAAGAATTGATATGTATAAACTATTTTAAAAATACATTTAATAAAATCTCTATAAAATATTAATGTTGGTACTTCAGAATTTTATTAATTTATAAAAATATTAATTAATCGATAAATTATTAATTATTAATCTATTGATAAATTAATGAATTATTAGTTTATCGATATATTTTTGGTTTGAATTTTTAGTGATCATCAAAATGTAATAAAAATATTTTAAAGATTTTATAAGTCATTCAAAAATACCATATCAATTTGGTAATAATCATGCAAAATACTTTCTACTACTTCGTATTAGTAAAAACAAAAAAATGATAAAAAATAGATAAATATAAACTATTTTTAAAATACATTTAGTCAATAAAATCTCTATAAATTAATAATATTAGATTTCAGAATTATATTAATTTATAAAAGTATTAGTTAACCAATAAATTATTAATTATTAATTTATCAATATTTTTTTTGTCTACAGCCCTCGATACTTTACTAAATTATTAATTTATAGATATATTTCTGATTCAAATTTTTAGTGATCATATTTTTTAACATATTAATAATTGTACAAAAATATCATATAAATGATATAATATATAACAGTTGATGGTATAGTGCGTTGAGGGCGTCCACATGGGATTAAGAAACTCGATTTTATTGGTCCACATCAGCACATTCATTAAATAAAAAAATGTTAAGTATGATTAGGACAGAAAAAGTTGATTTAATTGGTCCACATCAGCTTTTAAATCAAACCAAAAATTATTAAGTATAATTAAAACATTAAAAGTTAATTTAACAAATTATGTCCAACAAAAAAAGTAAATTCAATCTGATTGATCTAAATCAATATATTTATAAAATCAGAAAATGTTAATATGGTTTAAAATTTTAAAAGTTAAATAAAAAATTAACAATTAACAATACATATATAAAAAAGTAACCATTATCAATTATCAATTTAAAAAATTCACAACAACTTGATTTAACAATTAAAATAATGAAAACTAAATAAAAATATAACATAAAACTCTTGAAAGATATGATGGAGAAGGAAAAAATGGTTTTGCATGATCATTACAGCTTCCTAACAAAATTAAATGCGAATCAACATGAATCATAGATTATATATAAGTAGTACACAACATCAATAAGACATTCAATAAAAAACTAAATATTTGAACACATAAACCTTCAAAAAAAAAGAACTATAAAAATTCTATGGAAAACAGAAAATAATACCAAAATCTTAGCAAGATTATATTTCTCTAAATCAAATGTATATATGTACGTCAAAGTTAGATAATTTGATAGGTGTCATTGTTATTATTTTAATAAAAATAGGATAAATTATATATATTATATATTAATTCTCTTATATAAATGAAAATTTCTATAAATATATTATAATTTTAATAATTTTAAAGATAGTAGCTAAAAAAAATAAACCAAAATATTAATAAAGACTCGCGTGTAGCGCGAGTTATATATCTAGTAAATTTGAAAGATGATGGGCTTATATTTTGTAAACTTTTTTTTTACCTTTTTAGCTTTTTCTTATATTTTTCCTTCTTAATCTTGTAAACAGATCTCTCAAGGGACAAAGCTTTCAAGGATTTCTTCCTAGAGAGTTTGCAGAACTTCCTTTTCTGCAAGAGATGTATGATGCTGAATAGCTGATACTAGCCCTCAAACATTCTCATTATTACAATATTTGCCACTTACCAGTATATTTCATTAACTAACTTAACTGTCACTCTCTTATTATTTTTGTAATAGTGATCTGTCTAGAAACTATCTCAACGGCTCCATTCCCCCCGAGTGGGGATCACTGCCACTTGTCAACATGTATGTATATCCCTATCACAATTTCATATATAGATTGATTTTAGTAAATTTGTTAGATGATGAAATGCAGATCACTACTTGGAAACCGGATAAGTGGTCAAATCCCAAAAGAGATAGGAAACATTACAACCCTTTTGAGCTTGTGAATACTCTCTCTCTCTCTCTCTCTCTCTCTCTCTCTCTCTCTCTCTCTCTCTCTCTCTCTCTCTCTCTCTCTCTCTCTCTCTCTCTCTCTCTCTCTCTGTTACTCATACTTTGGTAATAGACTGATTCGGTCTTTTTTGTCTCGATCATTTGGGTTTATAGGGTACTGGATAACAACCAGATTTCAGGGAAATTACCTCCAGAGCTCGGGAATCTACCAAACGTTCTAAGACTGTAAGAATCTTTGTCCAAGTTCTCTAAAAAATGTCTCTTTAAAAAAAAAAAACAGTTATCGGTTTTTGCTAGTGTTGAGACTCTGTTATATCTTTGTAGCTTTGTTAGCTCAAACTACTTGAGTGGGGACATCCCAAGTACGTTTTCCAACCTTACTACATTGACTGATTTGTAAGTATTCCTCTGCTTTTCTTCGATCACACAACATATGTGTTTGCTGAAGATTCTGACTTTTTTTCTTTCTTATATATTTTTTCGCTTGCTTTATAGCCGTATAAGTGACAATCAGTTCAATGGTACTATACCAGATTTCATCCAGAACTGGACAGAACTTGGAAAACTGTAAACAATCCTTTCAGTGTAATCAGATTCTTTCGTTTTGCATATTGGTATTGGTTACTTATAAAGGAGTGCAATGTTGTAAATATGCATGAATCAGGGTCATTCAAGCAAGTGGTTTAGTCGGACCGATTCCTAGTACCATTGCTACTCTTAAGAGTCTAAGAGACTTGTAAGTAGCGTTTGAAATTCGTTGTTGTTGCCTTTCGTGGACTCACAATCAATGATATCTCGTGTTTCTTTTCCTGGATTTTTGTAGGAGAATCAGTGACTTGCGCGGACCCGGATCTCCATTTCCACCACTACAAAACATGACATCGATGAAGCTATTGTGAGTTCACTTACGACTAAACGAATTTAGTAATGGTTTCTTCCCACCTTTCGGTGAGCTTAACTTCCATTTGCACTCGCTGTTTGTTGCAGGATTCTTGGGAACTGCAATCTTACAGGAGAATTACCTGCGTATCTTGGACAGATGAAATCGTTAAAACTCTTGTTAGTAAACTCTCTGTTCTTCGGCAAGCATAAAACCATATTTTTTTTCTTAATGAAAAAGAATTTCCGCTGATAAGTGAGACTCGTTGTGCAGAGATCTAAGCTTTAACAAACTAACTGGACCAATCCCGGTAACATATAGCGCTCTTTCAAATGTAGATAATATGTATGATGCTCTTCTCTTATTACATCATGTTTTGTTTAAAGCTTTATGTGTATGAAAGTTAGATGCATTGAATATTGTTTTCTGATTTTGCAGATATTTTACAAGTAACATGTTAAACGGGGAAGTACCAAGTTGGATGGTAGACAAAGGAGAACAGATGTAAGTTTTCTTCACCGACATATATATATATTACAACACAATTCTTTGTAGTGACACAGCCGAAACACAATTATTGTGTCTTATATTGCAGTGATCTTGCGTACAATAACTTCATTAAAGATACAAGAACTGCAGAATGTATGCTGAGCGATGTGTAAGAAGAACAATAAAAATTCAAGCTGCTTGTGCCTTCAAATTAAGAGAACTATAAATCTTACAGTTTCTAGGTTACTTTTATTCACAGGAATATGTTTTCCAGCACAAGCCCTTTAGTGGCAAATAACCAGTAAGTCTATTTTGTTCTCATAACTCTTGAAACCTTTGGTTCTAACACTAGAGTATTGATATTATGTTACATTTTGCTACAGCTCCAACGGTTCGTGTCTGAGTAACTATAAATGTATAAAAAGTAAGTCTTTTTTCTTAGAGGACTAAAAGTGAGTCTTTAAAGCTAATATATACATACAAACCATATCGCGTACAGTTTAGCCGCTCATCTGATATATCTCTGGTTATTAATAAATTCTCCTCAGCTTTCTATGGACTTCATATAAACTGTGGTGGTGATAAAGTAACAATCAACAAGATTCAGTATGATGCTGACGCATCGGATAAGAACTTCTATGATAGTCGAAATGGTTGGGTTTATAGCAACACTGGACGTTTCGTGGATGACGATCGGGCTCTCAAAGGACCCTTACGGGCAAATACGTCAGAGCTTAAGACAACAGATTATAGACTTTATACACATGCCCGTCTCTCGGCCAACTCCCTCACTTACTATGCGTTGTGTCTTCGAAATGTAAATTACACGGTTAATCTTCATTTCTCTGAAATTATGTTCAGCGACGACAACACGTATAGCAGTTTGGGAAGACGATTCTTTGACATTTATATTCAGGTAATTTAATCTTTAGTTAAACCTGCTTTGAAAAATGCCTGAAAGAGTTTTATGCTTTAAAACAATTTGCTGGTGTGGTAATGTGTAGGGTAAGCTTGAGATTAAGGATTTTAATATCGTAGATGACGCAAAAGGTGCTGGAAGAGCTGTGGTTAAGAGTTTCTCGGTCATGATTACAAATGGAAAACTGGAAATAAGATTGATTTGGGCTGGTAAAGGAACTCAAGCTTTGCCTGTAAGAGGCGTATATGGTCCTCTCATATCCGCTGTGTCGGTAGATCCAGGTAAACTTTTGCTAAATCCAAAACTATGTCAGAGAGATTTCGCCTTTATTTGAGTGTTTTTTTTTTTTGTTTCTTGACTTTATCTGCCATGATCATGCTGTAGATTTCACCCCACCAAAGGAACCTGGCGCTGAAACTGCTGGAGGAAGCTCTGTTCGTACAAGCTCTGTTGGTACAGTGGTTGGTGCTGTAGTTGCTTCCATGGTGTTTCTTGTGCTTTTAATCGGGGGTATCTTATGGTGGAGAGGCTGCTGTAGACCAAAGAGTCAAATTGAAAAAGGTACTTGTAAATAGACTTGCTTAAATAGCCTTTAACAATCCAACTGATCTTGAGTTCTGTCTATGTGTCTTCCTAAACATAACGGTGATTCTTCACCTCAGATTTCAAGAACCTGGATTTCCAGATTAGTTCCTTCTCGCTGAGGCAAATCAAAGTTGCTACAAACAACTTTGATCCCGCCAACAAGATCGGAGAAGGCGGATTCGGTCCTGTGCACAAGGTTAGGGTCATAATGTAAAAATGGCATTATTATTGGAAAAAGAAATATGATTAATGCATGACTCAAGGTTTGTCCATTGTATAAAAACAGGGAACTTTGAATGATGGAACCTTAATAGCGGTGAAGCAGCTATCTTCGAAATCAAAACAAGGGAATCGAGAGTTCTTGAACGAGATTGGTATGATTTCTGCTCTCCAACATCCGCATTTGGTTAAACTCTATGGGTGTTGCGTCGAAGGTGACCAACTTTTGCTAGTCTACGAGTACATGGAAAACAACAGTCTCGCTCGAGCACTTTTCGGTTAGTTTTCTTCTTTTTATAAACATGACCCGCTCAATATTTTTTAGCTATAATTTTTGAAATGACCAATTAATAAAAAAAACATAACTTTTTCTTAAAATGACTAATAAAAGGGGTTTACTAATGTGTTTTGATTCTGGCAGTAATTTGCATTTAGCCTGTTAATAGACTACGTTCAATTGTATGATCAATCACTTTGCTGGTAGTAGTGTATATTCAATCTGCCATTAATCTAAAAATAAAAGTAGTTAGAAGGATAGCATTCATATTTATAAAAATTGTAAAAAATGAGTCATTTTCTCAATAGAATATCTATTTCACTTTAGTTTCTTATTATAAGTCATTTTAGAGTATTTTCTCTATTATTATACGTGTAAGGACAAAAAAATAAAAACAAGACCCTTAAAATTTATGTTTTAAAGGTAACTTATTTTTTCTTTTCAAAGCTGTTTTCCACAAAATTATAATAACAAAATTTAAACTTATTAAAATAATTAAAAAAAATTAAAACAAAATTGGATCACTCGTGAAAAACTATATATTAAAAACATAAAATCTAAATCTAAAAGTAATTTAAATTCATCCTCATTTGTTTTAATTAAAATATTTAAAACACATAATATGTTGCAAGTCTTAAGCAACATTAATCCTATTTCTCTTGTAGTTTAACACTTTATCAACTTTTTGTTTCTGTTTCACTGCGCTAAAATCTTTGGTATGCAATTCAAATATTTCGAATATGTTAACTCTATCTCCATTAACTCTCTCCAAACAAAAAAAGTTTCTCTTTCTCTTTATATTCATCTTCGTATATGATCTTTCTGCATTCTAGAGAATGTATACTTCTCAAGATTCGTGTTAAAAGTTTCTCTACATGATTTACGCTGATCCCCCTCCTCATTAAGTTCATCATCGTCCAATGCCATATGATTAGCATATTGGATTTCATTTTCATGTAATCCTAAGTTTCAAATTTTGCAAATAGTTTATTTTTGGAATTGCCTAATTATTAAATGCTGAAAATATTTTAGATGATTATAATATTTAGCAGACGAATTAAAAAGGATAAAATAAATTTGAATACTGAACAAATCATAATGGATAAAAATTTCGAATACTGTATAAAATATTTTCGTAATAATAATACAATAAAATAAGGAAAATTATACTTATAACAATGAAGCTCAAGAAGTATTATTTTGTTTGGTGAAAATTTTAAAAAAAAATTATGTGTTTATATAGATGTGAGTAATATTTTTGTTTTAAAAGATTACTGTTTAAGCCTATTTTTCTCCAAATTAAGATATATATATTTATTAACTTTTATTTTATTTTTTTTTCAAATTTTTTTGGGGATTAACGTTCATAATTTTTGTTTTAAACTAAAATATATCATTTAATTGAGACACGTGTCAAAATATAAATTAAAAGACTCACTACGTATCAGCAATCGTGTTAATTAAAGTATGCATCCAACATTATATAATAAGAGGATTTCAGTTTGGTTCAACAATTTTTGTTTCTCGATTTCAAGGTCCTCAAAACACTCAGATACGACTAGACTGGACAACAAGGCATAGGATTTCTGTCGGGATAGCGAGTGGACTAGCTTATCTCCACGAGGAATCAAGACTCAAGATTGTGCATAGAGACATTAAAACAACTAATGTCTTGCTGGATAAGGAACTAAACCCAAAGATTTCGGATTTTGGTCTTGCTAAGCTTGATGAACAAGAAAACACACACATGAGCACCCGAATTGCCGGAACATAGTGAGTCAATCAATCACTCAATCAATAAAAAGTTTCAGCTCTGTGAGATTCCTAATTATAATCAAAACCAAAACTTCTTTTTGCAGCGGTTACATGGCTCCAGAATACGCCATGAGAGGTCATTTGACAGATAAAGCAGACGTCTACAGTTTTGGCGTTGTGGCTCTAGAAATCGTTCACGGAAGAAGCAACACCAGCGCGCGATCAATTGGCGATATGTTCAGCCTTCTTGACTGGGTATATGATATTTTTCACTTCCAAAATCTAAACCCTACGCACATTTCTGAATATAAATCATGGATCTAATAAAGGTCAATTTCTTCCACAGGTACACGTTCTAAGGGAACAAAACAAACTGATGGAAGTAGTAGACCCGAGGCTAGGAACAGATTACAACAGAGAAGAAGCAATGACGATGATCCAGATTGGGATCCTGTGCACAAGTCAACTTCCGTCGGACAGACCATCGATGTCGACGGTGGTGAGTATGCTCGAAGGACATTCAACGGTGGATGTTGAGAAGCTTCTAGAAGCTTTGTTCAATAGAGGAAGTGAGAAAGACGAAGAGAGCATGAGGGCGATGAAGAAGCATTACGCGATGATAACAAACACCACGGATCAAACTACCAACGCTGGCGATCTTTACCCTGTTAAGCTTGATTCTTGCTTATTGGAACATTACATTAGATCTTAATTATGGATTATGTATGCAAGAAAATATTATGGAGTAAGTAATTATGACTTGTTTCGCAATTTTGTATAAATGCTTTTTTATAATTATTTTATTAAGACAACTAGAAGATTACGTTCTTAATTTTGGATTATGTATGCAACTTTTTTTTGAACAACTGATAATTATATTATTAATTGGCAAGCAAGTTGGGCTGTGGTTGAGAGTTATCATGGTTGATTACCTTTTACCCCTTATACTAATTGACATTATTATCCTTAATGAATATTTTTTTTTAAATTGTTATCTTTAATAATTTTTTTTTAAAAACTATCAATAATAAATTTTCTTAAGCAATAATACATCAATTAAAAAAACATAATAACACATGTACATAACTTTATAGATTTTACGGCTAAACCTATTTTCTTTTGATTTTTTAATCAAACCTAATTTAGTTAATAAAAACAATAATCTCAATCAAGCGAATGCTATAAATTTTATATATATCATCCATTATTTTTCTTTCACGGTTGTATGCTCTTTATTTTTGTATGATCATTCTTGGTTGCTTTGTTATATGTGTGTGTGCTCTTTTTATATTATAGTTATGTATTATTTGTATTGTTTATTCGCATAAACTCAGCTTTAAACGTATTCTCTAATCTAAAACCTTTTTTCAGGCTGCATAGTGGGATATTAGATTTAGCAAATCAAGTAAAAATCGGGTGAGTCAAGGAGAAATTTACCAATAAATAGGTGTCATTATTAGTGCGCGTTAGTTTTTTTTTTTTGCTTGGTGGTTTGTGTTTGCTTTGTATAATTTTGATTGCTTTCTTTATGTGTTTTTGCTCTTTGGTTTGATAGTTATGTGTTCTTAGTATTGTTTTCTACTTTTCTCTTATAAACCCTTTTCCAACATATTTTGTGATCTTAAATCCTTTTTTTAGGGTTCATGGTATGGGATATCAAACAAGTGAAAACCTAGAGATTCTATGATCTTTACAAAAAAATGGTAATTTTATCAGACATGCTTATTATATTTGTGATGTTTATCTTTGATCTGATAATTAGACCGTGATTATTATTTTTCTCGTGCCGCATTAATTTGACTGATCTCTTAAACCTAATTACTTGGTTGTTACTCTGAGAACGATATTTTCTTTGTTGTTCACCTAAATCAAAAAGTGATTGGCACTAGTAAAAACAAGAAGGGATGAAGACAGACTAATAACTCATGCAAATTTTCTCAGCCATGTGTTTAAATGAGGTTCCACGTACTTTCTATGTAGGCTCAGCAGAGGGTAAAGAAGCAATGCATGTGATGCAATCAACAAAGATGATGTGATATCAACTCTGCGCAGGTTTTATAAGCGTTGCATACATGCTACATGTGAGTGCGAGACTATTCCATCTTTTTCATAGATTCGATTCTTGAATCTTGATTCGAAGATGCTTATGATTTTCGTAAACGTAAAATAAAAAAACTCACAAAAAAAACACAAAATTCTCTCTGAATTTTCTGATTCATTTAGCTTTGATGTTAATTTGACAATGAGTGACAGCTGGAAGATGAACCATTCATTCACAATTTTTGGAAGAAAAAGTCAACGTTAACGACATCATAACTTTGGATCAATCTCCCTTCCATTCACAGAATATAAAAGAGGAAAATTATTCATATCTTCTTAGATTTTACCTGTCAAGATTTCAGTTTTGAATCTCTATGTTCTTTGATTTGGACACGTTTGAGCATGAATGTTCATAACTATCGAGATTAGACATCCTAAAAAAAGAAGAAACTAGAGTTGAGGTAAATAAAAGGCATAGTTGGAGATTCAACATGGATCAAGTTTCCATTCTACACAACACTACCAGTCATGTTCATTGACTTTGTTATCTCCGTTTTGGACCTCAATGTTCTTAGTAAGCGTGTGGAACAAGTCAACTTTAACGTCATTTGATTGCATAAGAACCAATCGGTGAGCTCGTGGTTCATAGTGGTTTGTTTGCGATGAGCTTGCTGGCTGAGATCGATATAGCTTTTTGAGGAGTACCAGAATGCTAAGAACGGGTTTAAAATGGCTGAGGTTTGGAAGATTTTGAACGGGCTTGAACGAATAACAGTGAAAAAAGTTTGTTAATGAAATTCATATGAATCTTTTGGGTTATGTTTTCTCAATTTCACGTTCAAGATGAGATGGTGTTAGAGGAAACAATAAGTCAATAACAAAATGACGATCATCTCTTTCGGAAAGTTGGATTGGATTCGAGATTGTATTAGAAATTTGACTACAAGTCGTTAGTCTGCTCGGAGAAAGCTTAAATGAAGAGACACATGTTCATAAATTCAACTTATATGTCACTTATTCGCCATTAAAACTGAGTTACAGAACATGATTATAATATGTAAATAATCTTTATCTGCACAAGCGTGCTTAGTTTCTCAGACGGTGTAGGTTCCGAGGACGAAGAAAGAGCAAAGACAAGCCCAAATAGTTTTAAATAAAGGAGATAGGCTACTGCTGATACTGGTATGCTCCCATATATCATCAAATCGACCTGCACCAGTGAATCAGTTTGCTTAAAAACAAAAGGTACTTAAGATAGATAGGCAAGAAGAGTAATAAATTCCCCCACTTCCTTACTAGAAACCCTCTTTTTACTTCCTCACATAGATTAAAGCTAAATCTTGCACCTGTTTTTGGAATCACACGTAGCCAAGACTAATAAAAAGATAACAACGCTGATTAAAAACAAACAATATAGGTCACACTTTTACCCCCAAAAAAAAACAATATAGGTCACATTCAAGGGATTTACATTGCCCTGTGTTGCAAGCTTTGAGGTTTTCTGTGGAGTGTTGGTTATTTGATGTGCGTTGAATTTTTTTTTTTTTTTGTAGATGATTTAGGTATTCGATTTCATATGGTTTGAAATCGTTTATTTTGATTTCAGGTAACACAGAGGAGCCTACATGTGATGAATTATAGGGCTTAAAGTACAATTCTAGAGGAAATGCACTATGGGTCTTGGCTGAAGATGGCTATAACTGTAGAAAATATGGTCAAAAGCACTTCACAGGAAGTTAATTTCCACCGAGCTATTATAAATGCACACATCATAATTGTAAAGTGAAAAAGATTAGATCTTATGTATTCATATTGCCGATTTAGTTTCTTATAAAAAATATTTCCTCTGCTTTGTGTACTTGAAAGCAAATCATCAAAATTAGCGAATCAGTGGAGCATACTGCTGATTTAACTTTACTATAATATTTTTTTTAGTGTTACATGGTGGCAAGTTTGGACCATGACTGTGTACACTAACAATTAAGTCATACAGACGCAGAAAGAGATGCTTACTGCTACAAGTAAATTAATTCATACTTTTAAAAACTTTTTGTTAGAAATACTTTTACCGATCTTTTTCTTAGATATGTACATTGCCAAAAGGCACATTTGTCTCATAAAGCTAATTTCATTCACATTAATTTTTAATTAAAATATGATTCATCATCTTAAAGATGTTAATATTTTTTTTTAATTTTTAAATAGATATAGCTGGACAAGAGATGCAATACCACTTATGTTTAGATGAGTTTTCATTATTCGAAAGAGAAATTAATTCCTTACAACTCAAATTTATTATATTCTTTTGGACATTTTGGTTTGAGTGAATAAAGGTACAATTGTTTTCTCGCCCTAAAGTTTATTTGTCTTTACATCCAATGCGAATTGTTAGCTAAATAGATTGTTTGCGGTAGTGAGCACACTCTTACTATTATAAAATTGAACTCTTTTTATAATATATATATATATATATATATTAACCACTAACATAAAAAAATAAAGAAAAATAATGTGTACCAAAAAATTTTGCTAAAAAAGTATTTGTCCGCGCTATCACGGGCAGACCACCTAGTTATAATAAAAAGTCGAATGGGCTTAGTCTAGAGGACTACAGAAATTTTTTAAGCAGTCCTTGTCATAGCATCTGCCTGAGAGTTTGCAACTCGTGCGATAAAAATAAAACTGATAGAATCGAATTATTACAGATATTCAATTGATATAATTGAGATATGTGATTCACATATCATTGCTTATATTATCGCCTAGAATATCTCTTCTTAATACTATGACATATTGTATTTTCTAAGATAGTTATTCACACTCTGTATATATATAACACTAGCTATGTCAATCAAATACACAATTCTACATTCTTATATGGTATCAGAGCTTCACGATACCTAACCTACAAAATTTTTTCTTCTCTTTCTTTCTAAACAATGTCGACTGTTACACTAAACAATGCTGTCTCTGCTTTTCCAGAAGCCATTTTCAATCTTCCCGGAACCTTGCTTCATATCAACATGACAAACGTTACTAAGTTGACGGCCACCAACTACATCATGTGGAATCGCCAAGTTCATGCTCTACTCGATGGGTATGAACTTGCCGATTTCCTCGATGCCACCAAACCCATTCCGGATGCAACCACCACACTAAATGGATCTGCTGTCACAAATCCAGCCCACACACTCTACAAGAGACAAGAGAAACTCCTTTACAGCGCTATTCTTGGCATCATTTCTCCTTCCATTCAACCTCTTCTGTCAAAAGCAACCACAACAATGAAATATGGGAAACGCTGGCATCCATCTACGCAAAACCAAGCCGTGGACACATCAAGCAACTCAAACATCAAATTAAACAATGGAAGAAAGAAACCAAAACCATTGACGAATACCTACAAGGGCTCATCGCTCGATTCGATCAAATCACCCTCCTCGGCAAAGTCATTGATCTCGAAGATCAAATTGAATTTGTATTGGAAGGCCTCCCAGAGGATTACAAGTCTGTCATCGATCAAGTGGAATGACGAGATTCACCTCCAACCATCGATGAGCTTCACGAAAAATTCATTAATCACGAGGCCAAACTCATCACCGCTGAAACTCCACAGCATATTCCTGCGTCTGCAAACGTCACCACTAATCGCTACAAAGGCCAACACAAAAAAACCAATCGAAATCAACCATGGCAATCTCAACAACGACCTCCGAACAATAACTCCACCTGGCAGCCAAGACCATACCTCGACCGCTGTCAAATTTGTGGTATACAGGGGCAAAGCACAAGGCGATGCTCCCAACTCACTCGTCACACGCCTGGAGTTCTTCCCACGCCAACACCTTGGCAACCC